GGAAAGTCAACACGTGGATAGACACAGAGGTATGGCTCAGGAGGCCTATGTGGACACAAAGGGGGGAACCACAAATTTTGGATAAATTGCGGAAGCCATGATTTGAACTCAAGACCTTAGGCTCTGATACCATGTTAAGCTTCATACACTAGCCAACACAACCAAAAGCCCGAACTGATGGAAAGGGCTAGGCAATCCACACATACACTTCAACACCAACCACCGCCACGGAGCTTCGGGATTACTCGGGCTCACCGAGTACTATTGGAAATTCGTCCCCAGCTATGGTGTCCTTACTCACCTCCTGACCAAGAAGGGCTTCAATTGGGACGAGCGAACCCAGGAGACGTTCGATCTCCTTAAGCAAGCCATGGCTCGGACGCCCATGCTCCCTCTGTCGGACTTCTCCCGGCCGTTTGCCATCTAGACGGACGCCTGTGACACGGGCATGGGCGTGGTGCTCGTGCAGGACGGTCACCCTGTGGCTTACATGAGCAAGGCATTGGGCATCAGAACCGGAAGCTATTGACCTACGTAAACGAATTTCTTGCCGTGAAAAAATGGCGAGCCTATCTCTAGCACAGGCCATTTGAAATCGCCACCAACACAAGAGCACGTGTGCCCTAGGCGACCAACAGTTGGACACAGAGCTCCGACGCAAGGCAATGTCAAAACCTGTCGGCCTTTAGTTCACATTTCGGTAAAAGAAGGGCACGGACAATGGGGCAGCCAATGCGCTGCGCACATGGGGCACCAGCTCGCGCTCGACGCGGTCTCCATCTGCCAATCACAGTGGCTATAGGAGGTAGACAACTCCTATGAGAAACAGACGCGACACACAAGAGCTCCTCGCCCAGCCGGCGATCCAAAGCCCTGACGACCAAGGCCGCATGTTCCTTCGCCAAGGTGACCGGCTCTGGATCGGCGCCAACACAGCTCTCCAACCAAGCTCATTTCGGCGCTCTATGAAAGTGTTGTGGGAGGCCAGTCCGGCATCGCGACGACCTACCAGCAGGTGCGCAAACTCTTCGCCTGGCCTGGCCTCAAGCACGTGGTCGAGGACTTTGTTCGTCGGTGCCTCATCTGCTAGAAGGCCAAGCATGACCATCATCACCCGGCGGGCAAGCTTCAGTCGTTGCCAATTCTTATCGAGCCATGGCACGATCTGACCAAGGACTTCATCGATGGTCCGCCCAAGTCAGGGGGCTACGACGCAATCATGGTCATCGTCGACCGGCTCATCAAGTTCGCCCACTTTGTGCCATTGCGCCACCCCTTCAACGCGACGCAAGTGGCTCGGGCCTTCCGGGATTCGATCATCAAGCTCCATGGAGTACCACACTCCATCGTCTCTGATCGTGACAAGGTGTTCATGAGTGCCATGTGGCGCGAGCACCTCACCGCTGCCATCACAAAGCTCCTGTACTCAATGACATACAATCCTCAAATCGACGGCCAGAGCGAGCGCATTAACCAATGCCTTGAAATGTACCTACGATGCACCATCCAAGATTGACCTAAGCACTGGCGCAAATGGCTCTCCGCAACGGAGTCTTGCTACAAGTTGACTCACTACTATTCGCTCAAATGCTCACCGTTCAAAGTTCTCTATGGCAAGGAGCCGAATTTGCGCGGCCTACTCTCCTTCAGCGACCAGCTGCCCACCTGCACGGCGAGCGGTGACCTGGACTGGGCCACACACACTGAGATGCTGCGCACCTAGCTTGAGCGTGCCCAGGACCGTTTCAAGAAGCAGGCTGATCGACATCCCACTGAGCGCATTTTTGACGTTGGCGAGCAAGTCCTCCTCAAGCTCTAGTTGTAGTTCCAAGTCTCTGTCGCTAGCAAGCCCTGCTGCAAGCTCGCGTACAAGTACTTTGGCCCCTTCACTGCCACCGAGTGCGTCGGCGCCCTTGCCTACAAGCTGGAGCTCCTGCAAGACAACAGGATCCACCCCGTCTTCCATGGCTCGCAGCTCAAGCCGTTCACCCCCAACTACTCATTGGTCTTCTTTGTTCTGCCCAAGATTTGAAACCTGACAACCACACCGCTAGCTCTGATCGCCATCATCCTGGAACGTCGCATGGTGAATGTTGGATTG